TTTCGATCTTTCGTGTTTTACAACGAGCTGATTACACTACATTTTATCACCACAAAACATATGCATCCATAATGATGGCCATTTTGGTTGTGCGCTTCGCCGACGAGAATCATCAACATCCACAAAAAAGAATATATATCTATTATCTATATAGATATGCATAAATTTCAAACAATTTCGCTCAGTCTGTCTGCGAACTAATTTTCGTTGTTCATATTATGACAACTGCAACGCCGACAACCGTACTGAAATAATCGTCCGTTCGGACGATCCGATCCGAACCCAAAGGAAAAGATGAAAAAATCACCATACACAACAACGATAACGACGAGAAGCAAATTGGATTGTGTTTATATGCAGTAAATACTTCAGTATGTGCAGTGTGCACAGCACACTCAAATGCTAACATCCACATACACGAACATACACGCGAAGCCATCGTTCTTGCTCATATAATATATTTGGTTGTAATTTCAATTTGTATGCACTACAAACAACAATATACGATGCTGATGATGATGGTTTAGAAATGCCGACCAAACAAACGATAAATCGATAATATTGTTCGCATTTTCAGCGCATACACTGAACATAGATACAAAGCAATGACAATCGGAATGAATATTTGATGTTTGTTCAAGTAAACGATCGAACGTGTTTTCAATATATAGTTAATAATAAAACAATAACAGACTGCCGTTTGGTTGCGTGCACTTGCAAAATGCAAACAATTCGGGCCAGTTCTCGCTCGGCCCGAGAAACATTCGGCGCGCTCGAAGAGTTAATATTTGTTGTTTTCACCTCGAAAAACGAGCACCGAATGCAGACGAGAATGAGAGAGAGAGAGAGAGAGAGAGAGAGAGAGAGAGAGAAGCAGAGCCGCGGCACACAATTCATTCAGCATGACAATGCGGTGAGATCAGCTGATTCGCTCTCACTAATTGACTGCATCGCATGTGCCATTCTCATTTGCTAATACAAAGGAATAAGTGGTAATTACATTAACAACAGTTTCGGACAGAAAAAAATAGAACACTATTCCAATTATTCAAACATCGACAAACACACATACACACGCATACATCCCTCAAGAGGATTCGAATCTGTTTATCTCTACAATTCAATTTCTTATCAATGAAACACTTTAAGTACATACGGACTATTAAAATTGTCGATGACCATTGAAACAAACGATAATAATAGCCCATTGTAATGGTGAAATGGACATTTACAAAGCGAAACAATTCAAGTACAACGCCACTTACGTAAGGCCTCATTTTTACACTGGGACAATACACATCGAAACACATCAAATCACCTACTTCAACAACATACATATACACGAGGGAGAGAAAAACAAAACAAAAAACTCACAAGCCATGATGAATTCCCCGAAAAAAAGTACAACTAAATGATAATGCCAAAATATACCATATTAATATATATAAGTCGTGCAAGGCCAGTGATTTTTATATTTATAAATCCAAATCAAAACGCGCCATTCAGCCAAATGAATAAGATTTTTTTTTGCTGGAAATTACGAAATGATATAATCAAATGAGATTATTTTTGCAATTAGAATAGCGTTGTCCATTCAATTTTTATTTGAAAATGTGTTGTTGTTTTTCTTGTAATTGGAATTGAGCGAGTGACAAGCATATATATTAGCGCGATTTGACAAACGAATCAACAGCAGCAAAAAAGTAAGCGATGGCCAATTCAACCGAATTGTGACTATGGGAACATGAATTATTGGCGCTCACGTTGATGGCGTTGTGCGCTCACAAAATAGTTGGCAATTTTCGTTCTCTCGTCACATTGATTACGTTTGAATGCGATAAAATATGAAACGAACGGACAAAATGCATTTGTATTTTTCATGACATGTAAACAGTCAAGGTCGAACACGTTTGATTTTTAGCGGCATGTGGATGAATCAAACACGCGGGGAAAAACATAGACGCATGCCAAATACGTCGAAACAAATGAAAAAAAAGACAGGCACAACGATGAAATAACAACAGGAGCTAAAGAAAAAAAAAGGCCATCTAAAAATTGTGATAGAGCAGAAAATCGCTTTCGGTTGAATGAATGAGAAGAGGAAAAAAATAGAGCGAAAAAAAACGTGTTGGTACAAATTATTATTGTGATGATCAAATCGTATTGACGTTAAGCTCTATATGAGAGAAACGCCATTCTGTTTGGCAAACAATTTAAATTGGTTGCCAGCAGAATAAAAAAAAACAATCGAAATGAGATTCGACTGCTGCTGCTGCTGCTGCTGCTGCTGCTGTGACTCTACGTTTGACGCATTTTAACATAACGCTTTGTATTTCCATTGCAAACATCTGTCATCGAGTCAACTATATCGACACGACTGCAACAAATTATGCATGAGAATTATAAATTGCATACAATTACTTGATCACATTCCGCTCTGGTTTTTTCTTCTTCTCTGCATTATTTCATCTCTCGTTGTGCATGAATTCGTCGCGCAATTATTTCTTGTTGTCGTCGATTTAATGGAAGCATAAATATAGTAAAGTGATGATGTTATCATCGGTGCTTGAAATTGAAATGTTGACCGTTTGCAGAAAAAAAAAATGCCGCTGAATGAGATAATTTATGGCCGTACATATATATAAAAAGCGATGTTAAAGAGCATGACAAAGTTAGCGGTCGTGTCTGATGATTGAATGGGATTCTGTATAGTTTTGAGGACATTGCATTGCAATTTAGTGGCCAAGGCTATAATTTGGTCGCGCGCATTGCAAACGATTCATAAACCGACCATATACACTACTGATGATAAATTTTCACATCGCTTTGGTTGCTCTTTCTCTCGCTCGTGATGGGTGGATTTTAATGGTTTCACATATAGAAGATTATAAGCATTTAAGTAAATCATTCGCAAGGAAATTGGCAAACATTAATAAGAGTACAGTATGTACATGAAATTGAACCATTGAATTTAACGTATTGACCATTGGAAAGAAGGCGGTTGATGATACTTTCCGATGACGCCAAATAAGGAACTGCTTGGCGATTTTGATTGAAGATTTTGCTAATTATACATCGCAGCTCTACTAATTATCATGATCAGTTCAATAATTCACTGTCATCCGGATAGTCCAAGTATATAATTACTATCATCACGTCCATTAAGTTTATTGGCGGCTTTTATTTTTGCAGCTAAGACAGCTTTCATCGTCAAGAGAATTGAAGCGAGCAAATTGCCGCGTGAATTGGTACATTTGCATGTGTTGGAAATATTGATGACATGTACGAATTTATTTTGAATTTGAATCGTGCGAATTGTGAAAATAGGAAAATGTATTTCCTCGCGCGTGACACCAAAACAAAAAGAAGAAGAAGAAGAAGAAGAAGAAGAACGACAAATAAATGTGTCCATCACATTCACGCCGCGCGCAGATGGTTTCGAAAGAGAAATAAGCCGAAATGAAATATAGAAAATATGACGGTGGAAAAATAGAACAAACAAAAATAAATCATCAAGTGTGTGTGAGTGGTGTTTTTTTTATTTCTTCATACATATTTAAGTTGCTTTTCATGCATGCGGTATACGTCGAGAACATCGACCACCGATCGAAGTATGTATTCGTCAAAAAAAATTGTGTCAAACACTTCAGAATATCGCCACTTTTTTGTTGGGTTGTAAAAAAAAACACTTCGCATGCGAAGAACAAAGACAATGATATAGGCGGACAGGAAAAAAAAGAAGAAGAATCATTGACGAAACAAAAGCAGCGATAAGTTGAGCGTGCGAGACTGACTGATGCAGGCGTTTTTATACATATATCAAATGAATGGAAACGTAGAAGAAAAAAATCGACAACAATAACAAAGAAGATATATTGAAATATTGTTTTTCGGGGCGTCAAGAAAATATTTAAATGGATTTGAGCATTGCGGTGACGAAAATAGCGCAAGTGTGAGAGCGTGAACTGTGAGATAGAGAGAACGGAATGAGTGCCACATTGCGATGTGCATCGAGAAAATGCTGCTGGTTATTATTACTGGGAATCGGTCGATGTGATTCTGGCGCGTTCACGGTTTGATTGAATTCGTTTTATTTTCTTTTTATTCCTTCTTTGCATTTGTCTTGCTTCTTTCGCACACTCCAAAATATCGAATCGCTAAATTGCATGATCATCTCTTCGTATCCACACATCGACAGACCCAAGAAACCGAATTAAAACCTATGAATAAAATATCAGCGCTGTAACACCCGACTGTCATTGCCTCCGCCACTGAGGTTTCAATGTAGAAAAGTATCAAGTGATATACATCGATATTGAATGAAAAGACAGACACAACAGTACAAATTGTATCGAGTCGTCTGTGTGGCTCGATGTGAGTGCGCACGAAGACAAAAGAAAAATCGACCCAAGAAATGAGCTCGGTAGCATGTCTCTCTCTCACACTCTCACTCTTTTTCGCTTTGGATTGGTGCGGTTTCAACTTAAAAATGTGTTTCTATTCAAAATGTGCCGGCTAAATTCTATATGCAGCACACAAAGACACATGCGGTCCAAAAACTACTTGACATTCAATATGCCAAACGTGCGTGTAATTAGGAACAAGAAGAATAAGAGTACTGGCAAGCGAAGGAGAGAGAAGAGAAAGAAGAAGCGCGATTGAAGAATTAACAAAAGCTCACGGCTGATCGAATCAAGATAAAATGAGAAATGCCTGCGAACAAGAGATAGAAAATCAACATTAAAAAAGGAACTACGAAGTATTAAAAGAAACGAATTATTATTTAAAAAAAATACGCATATAGACACGACGACATATGCCGAGTGGAATCAATGTGAATATACAATCGACGCAGCAAAAATGAAACGAAAGAAAGAAAGAACGAACGAAAGAAAAAGGAAACACTTACGCATACAAAGCAAAAGTTGGCAAAGTGTGAGAGCGTACGAGTCGCGAGACGCGAGAAAGAGATAAAACGAAAATATCGCGGCGATACAACTGAAAAATGGATGTTTTTCTAGGCATTCAAAGCACCATTCAGTCCACGTTCACGCATCGAACGTAGAAAATTTACTTCGATTTCGTTTTTTTTTTTCTACTCATTGTTTTTGCTTCCATTCGGAAAAATCCGATTTTTGCTGTTGTTTATGTTACCAGCATCATCACTGGAGAAGCTTAGTTTGCTTAGTTAACATACGATAAAAGTGATTTCGATTTTGGTGTAATTTATATTCGGTATTTATGTCGATTTAGCTGATAAATCCCTTTGTATTTGGCATAGTGTTCGTGTGTGTTTCATTGCAGTATATTTATGAGTTTGCAAGATTTACAGCCGTCTTTCATTTGTTGATTATCATATTTCAAACATTTTACCCTCAATCGATTGATTCCCGTCTCAAAAGTGTGATAAGATAGCGTATGTGAAACGTGGAAGGCGAAAAAGAGAGGGGAAGACATCGATAAGTTTGTGTTTCGCGATAATGCCACGTAAAAATCAAAGACGTAAAAATGCTAATAGTCAAAGTGGACGACGCAAAGCGAAACCAATTAAGTTCAATCCCAGTGATATTAAAAACGAAGAAAGACAGCTTTGTGCATCGTTCGGAGTAGACGATGCAGTTGATAACGACAACCAAGACCAAATCCACGACCAAGAAATGGAATCAATTGACGGAATTGTACCGATTCGAGAGGATGATGATGAACACGATGAAAACAGCGGTGACGATCAAATCATAGTGGATACAACGTTGGATGACAACGAAATCGACCGAACTAATCAAATGGATAAAACTGATGATGGGAAAAACGATGCTGCCACACCGATTCCAGTTGCGTGCACCGATTCACTTGCTAACCGTACGTTCGATTGCAATTTCAAATGCAGAAATTGCTTCTTCCTTTTTTCCATTGAAATTTAGAATTTACTTAATGCGATGTTTGCATTCGCATTATTTTTTCTCCTTTGTTCCTTGCCTCCGGCCAGTTGCAATTATTCGAAGTGTACAATTTTAATTTGCTTGCCCATATTTAATTGCGTCGTTCCAGATACAACAGTCGACGACAAATCGATGGCAATGTCTCAAGCCGAATCACATGAACTGGGTACATCGAGTCCAACAAACAGTGACATCAACAGCGGCAAACGCATTGCCATGAGTTTCGATGTTGAAAGTAATTCAAATGCTGAAAATAAAGCGGACTCCGACGACCGATCGCTAATCATAACAACAACGATACCAGAATCAACAAACGCTTACGCCGTTGACAATGATATTAATAGAAACAGCAGCAACAGCAGCGGCGGTGGCGGCGGCGACAACAACAGCAATAGCAGTGACAGTGGCAAAAGCGGCAACAGTACTGATGCTAGTTGTGATATAATTGTTTCTGTGCCAACAGATGCACCACATTTATCGGAACGATGTGCTGCTGCCGATGTTACGGCCACTGCTGCTGATACGGTAGCGCCTGCTGACAATTCAATTCTCACGTTAGATAATTTGACCGACGCTAAAATTCAAATAACCGAAAAGTCAAATGTTGCAGATGCTGACCATTCACTCGAATTGCCAACTGATAATGCGACTAATGTTGATACAACTCAGAAAAGCAATGACGTTACAACGGCAGAAATCATGAATTACGCACAAATTAATCTATCAAATGCGAAACCAGAAGACCAGACGGCTTCAATTCATGTTCCACTCGATGAAAACCATTCGAATAATTCAGCGAATGGCATTGAAATCGAAAACACACAATGTACGCAGGAACAGCAACAGCCACATCATTCTGAAAATTCAGATAATTTCAAGAAAGAAGCAAAATCGAATTGCGTCGATAATTCCAACGGCGAAAATCAAGAGCAGCCACAAATCAATCAAATGAAAGTAGCGAACGAAGACGTAAATAGCACAAGTGCGATTGCAGCACATTCAATCGAAACGAACCGTACTGAAAGCAAAAGCGAAACAAATCCATCAGTGCATGAGGTAAAGTCAAAGCAATCATATCGCGTTGAATCACCTGAACCAAAACCAAGCACCGCTTTGAATTTACCTGTATCCACTGCAATTAAAAAAAGTCGCTCGCTGGGCGATTGTACGGATGAGTTTGGCATTCAAGAGTTAAGCGATGCTGGTTCGTCGGCTGAAAACGATAATACGCCATTAGTTTCGGAAGTTGAATCGGAACCGGATGTACCCGAAACGAATAAAGTGGTGAAATTGCAGTACCCAAATCGATTAATCAGTGTGGAAACATTCCCGCTAGATTATCAAGACGATTCGAGTGTGTTGTGTCCGAAGCTCGAAGAAGAGCTACGAAATTGCATTGCACAGCAGCTACCACAACAAGAATCTCAACCGGCGCAACAGTCTCCACCAATGTCCAAAAGACAAAAGCGGCCACCATTGCCACCGCCACCACCCCTTTCGAATGCACAATTTTTGCATCCGATCAATAATTATTTGCACGCAATTAGCGAGGAAAACAGTGATGCCAGTGATATTGAACATAAGCCAGACGAAGTCACTGCGGAGAAAGTGAATAGTCCTAAAGCAAATAAGGCCGATGCCATGTATCCAAGAAGTCATTTTGATTTTTCACGCGTTAGTCGGCACACGAATTTAATTGCTCCGTCAACCGAAGCGATTCGGGAAGAGGCTTCGTGCGTTTTGGTCGACACAAAGCTCATTGGCCCGGGCAAAGTGAATGAAAGCAACCAGCCATGGACAACATCAACCGTTGATGAACAAAGTCATGCCGAACTAGTGTACTTGGATTCGAGCTCAAGCAATACTAGTTTAAGTGATATTGAGTCGATCAGTGGAGTCGAAGGTGATGTTGAAGACTTAAATTCGGAATCGGATGTACGTATCGAAACCCCAACAATTGGTGGCAATTCCTTTTCGGCATTCAAGCCAATCGTTAAAAAGACATCAGCCGATCTCTTGGCCGGCCTAAAACAAATATTAAACGATAGAAGTGAATGCATTGAAACCAATTCATTTACTGATAATGAAACATCTCCAGTTTTGAGTAACAAAAAATCCTTTCTGAATGTTGAAATTAACAAAGTACCGAATCCTTCACCCATTGACCATTCTCATTTCAAACCAATCAATGAGAATGTCAGCTCGATTCGGTCGTTATTGGAAAATATAGCGGCCGCATCAATCGAATCGTTAGTTGACAATGAAATTGTTGAAATTCCACTGGCTTATGATGATAGGTTGATCACAAATGATAGGATTCAAAATGAAAATTCAAGCAATTCAATTCATACAAACAGTACAAATGGAGTACACAATGACACATTGCAAACACAAACACAAACACAAACACAAACACAACCAGAACACGACCAACAGATTGACACAAAGCACAATCAATTGCTTAGTCCAAAGTTTAAAATTGGGGAAATTTGTTCGAACCAAATGCTTTTAACCGGTTCAGTAAATTCAAATAATCTGAATGTTGATTCAAGCGCACACAATAATAAAGAACTTAATCGACAGGATTCAGCATCGAGTCACGGTTCGTCGCACACAACCAGCAGCACATCGCACAGCAGTCAGTGCACGGCAAAGTATTTGGCAAGTCAAACGTCTCCAAACGAATTCGGCGATTTTTCTGAAAATACGTTTATTAAATCATTGCGTCAGTTGTCGATTGAGCGTTTAGAGTCTCTGCCATACGGTGACTTAATTTTAGACGAAGTAGCAAAACATTCGCAACAATTGACCGATCCGAATATGCCATATCCACCGCCCAGATTACCACGCATCGAAGATTTGGAAATTCTTTCGGAATCGGTGCAGCAACCACGACCACCGCCTCGAAATTATCAATCAAAGATTAAGTTCTACTCAAATTTCAAATTGAAATCGTCGCCTTCGCCACCACCAGTGCCCCAACGACCGTGGCTCGGTGTACCAACGGCTGAAAATCCAAATGTTCTGGTTTGTTTGTCACCCGCTCAACGTGAATTCTATCAGGAGAACAACAGTGCACCCGATCACCTATTGGACTTGCATAATAAATTTGTTGATCGTCGCGGCTATCACGAGTACACCGATGATGAAGTAATGGCGATAAATTTCCGCGACTCAGTCGCATTGTCGAAACAAGCGGCTCAATGTGAAATATCGAATATGAAATCCAAGGACGATAACAGATTGTTGGCACTTATCCGAGAAATAAATCAGCTCACCAACACTAGCGTTGCGGCCGAACATGGCAACGACAACAACGACAACGGCAACGACAGTGGCAACCGTTCGAAAGGAAAAGAGACGACTTCACCAACAACAAATCGCTCGTCTCAGTCTCCGGCTGCACAGCAGCAAAGCGATCACGCTACTCTAAAAATGTCGCGATCCAACACCACGGACCCAAATTACGGTTTCAATAATAAACGCTTTTCCAACTACTTCGATGAATTGAGCCGATTGCATCCGATAGTTGAGGAGACGCCCAAAATTTACACAAATATTGAGACAACGAACTATCAATCACGCAAACGCATCGAAAACGGTCAAATTGTTTACGACTATTCGAATTCAAGCCACGAAAAAAGCAGTAGCAATGCAGAGCCACCGAATCGCGTAAGTGCAACGGCAAACGAAACAAACAACTGTCAAACAATTGCAGCAGCAGCAAATTTCAATAATAGTCCATTCGATGTGAATATTGACAACAAAGCGTTCGTTGGCGAAGCACTTAGTGCAAATCAAATTGCTGAAAACCGCTACTGCAAATACGCAGAGTGTAAAAATAGCCGAACGGATGACTCAGTGCATCATCACCATTCGAATCTGACGACAAGTGAAAAGCAGCAGCCAGATGAATCATTGAAAAAAATTACGACCGAACCGCAGAAAAGTTGTAATCCAAATAGTCGATCTTCGTTCAAAGAGTTTGATTTTGTGCCGAAAATCTTTTCGAATTTCTTCCGTACAAATAAAACGGAAGGAGAGCAATGTGGGAGTGCTGTAATTACAAAAGAATCAAGTGAAACAACAACCGTGCAAACAAACACTGAGAATATAAACGTGACGAATCGCTGTGAAATTATCGGTAGTGGTGGTGGTAGTAGTACACGGAATTCCGTATCGCCATTGCCATTGAGAAAGTCCGAATGGTATTCGAGTACACAGAGTTTGTATGATTTATTTGGTGAGGAGATTGATCCTATGCCCGGATCGCCATCAGCATCGGTATTGGGTGTGAGAGGTGTTACGCATCGCGGCCGAATATCGCCAAATCCAATTCGGGCGCCACGCATCAACGACTCACCGAATACAAACACTACATCGACCACATCGGACTATTCACAACATCATCATCATCAGCACCAGCACCAGCACCAGCACCAGCACCAGCACCATCAGCATCAATATCAGCAACAGCATCGACATTACGATTGGCAAGCGACAAAGCACAATCGCAACTTTGAAAATCGCCAGTCGATGATTGACCAAACGCCGATAACACGATTTGTTACACATAATCCACGACGCATGTCATTGCCGAAAGCGATGGCCGACAGTCAATTAGCATATATTCTGGAGAAGGAGCGCCACATCACCAGCGAATTCGATAAATTGGAAAAAGACCGGCAGCGATTGCTTCAAGAACTCGAAGAGATGCAGGTGAATCAGAGTTTCGAAGATTTTTACAAGCAACACAAAAAACGGAACAGTTTGTTGCCCACGTTGGGCCCATTGTCTGAAGAGGAGCTTATGAAAAAGCGTATGCAAGAAGAGTGGCTCAGTAAAGTGGCCGAACGTGAAGAGCGTCGTTTGCAAAAAGTCATAAAAGTTACGCATGGCACAAGTGAAATTTCGCCACCTTACAAATCGCTTACCAATCGTGGATTAAGCGATGAATTTCTCGAACGTGTCAAAGAGCGACGCACAAAATTGCACATACCATCGGACAGTGATTGGGACAGTGGTGCTGAATCGCAACCCATCAAACGTGAACCAGTTTCACCGAATATCGATCCAACGGTTAAAGTAATTGACGATGGCCACGAAGCTGACATCAAGCAGCTGCCAAAACATCTTCGTGAATTTGCCGAATTCACCACAAAATGCGAAGCAAGTGAAAGCAAAAGTCAATGTGATACAAATGCAACAAGCACAATAGAAACCGAATCAAAAGAAATCATACACACAATCGAACGATGCGACAACCAAGACGGTGAGTCAAGCCATGCAATGCCTGTGCGCCTAACAATGATCGGATTGAGTTTAGCCATTTGCTTAGTTTGTTGGTCATTGAATCGATTGTGAACAATAAAAAAAAAAATAAACAAATAATCTAACCAATATTCAACAGCATCAATGCCAAGTCAATAACAATTTATTTTTGTTGTACTGATTTTGTTTTTCATTCCTTCTGTGTTCTGTTCTGTTAGTTTTTATGTTTTGCAATGATGATAATAATACATAATACATAGTAGCAAGTAATGATCGTAAAATAAAATCTGTTGTTGAATTTATTATGACTGTTCAACGTTCTGCCAAATGGAAATGATTATTGTCAACGTAAACAGTAGTAACAGCAACGAAAAATGCTGAATGAAAATACATCGGCTTAAATAATATAAGTATGATTGTTTATTTTCAATTGAATTGAACGATCGAATAACTTTTTGAAAAGAAGAGAAAGAAAAAAAAAACGAACGAACGCACGCACACATTCATTCTGCGCTTCTCTCGTTGCCGACTCATTCATGAATATAATAAATCAATTAATAAATTTTATTAATTTAGAATGATATGGTCGTTATGCTTTGCGGTTGATTCATTTTAGCGTAATTGTTGGTTAATTTACGAGTCATGACACGTACAAAATTTATTTTATATTCATTTCGATGCAACGTTCATTTGCGCTGTTCGCGTTGCCTGTCGACTTCACATTTGATTTAAAGGGAAAGAATAATGTCACACAAACGAGCTGTCAGTGAATTTATCCACTATATCTCTCTCCGTCTCTGTCTCTGTCTCTCTATCGCTCACTGACTCTTTCACACTCCCATTGAATTATTAGCGAATGCGAGTACTTATGAAATATCGGAAGCCATTTGTTTAATGCATTTAAATTGACATTCTCTTGATGATTCGTCGTAAGCTAATGGAATTTAATTGGTGAATTTTCCAGTTAAAGTGCATTTTCGCCAGAGAAATAAATTGTTAAAATAACATTTAAATGTCAAATGGACAACTTCTGAATGTGGCGATTGTCGGGTTGTTTTATTCCCTTTTTCATGTTGTTGTTTTTGTCGTGAATTTTCATAAATGAGCTTTTCGTTTTGTTTCTCTGTGCTAATTAAGTCCATTGTGTTTGTTTTTTTCCTTCTACTTTTTCGTTTGCCTCGTAACCACCACCACCACCAACATCATTTTGGTACATTTGGTACGTGACCCCAGTTAATTTGCAGTTATTTTTGTGCAGTTTGTCGTCGGTAGCTGTGTGGAAGGCCAACTGTGCATATCAGAACTTCCACCACATAAAATACACGTGATTTTTCCGTTGGCCATGTTCAAAAAGATACTTTGCTTTTGGTGGTACTGTAACAAATATTGCTTATCCGTTTGTTATAAAATGAAAATGATTTCTCTCTGTGGAAATAGCGAGCATAGCGTGCAATGTGCACGGCGAGAGAAAAACACGGTTCCTACGAAAGAGTCGCCATCCATACAGAGTGAGTAAGTGAGTGAGCGAGCAAACGCAGCATGAAAAGAAATCAGGCAATTACTATTCTGTTTGTACATCGGCGTCATTAAATACGACGCTTCCCGAACAAATCTCAACATTTTCATTGATATTTTTCATTGTGATCGCATAAATTGCGCGCAGCAAACCCCAATAATCTGTCTGTGCTACTCCAGCCATCCCGCCGTTTTTTGTCTCGCCAAAAAACTTTTTTTTTCATTCAACTCTCATCCTCTGGTTCTCTTGCTATTTTTTTTTCTGGCTATACCCATAAAGTTATTGTTGTTCGTTCATTCGTTCATTCGTTCATTCGTTCATTCGTTTGTTCCATCCTTGGTTGATGTTGTTTTTTGCGGTACACACTTTTCTGTGCCGAAATAAATTACGTGCATAAAAATGTTCTATTATTTAATCTTAGATGCGTCACACACAAATGCTTGTGCTGCCACGTGCGAATGCTATAAGCAGTCGCATCATCAAATTGCTGATGCTGGTACTTTTGCTGCCATCGCTGTTTTAACTAACGATTTGGATGCAAACAACCTTACGATTAATGTGGCTGATATCGATAGCGGCACAGCTTTTAACACACCATCGCCAATAATTCGACGCAACAAAAAAGCGGCGTGCTCGTTGTTGGACGATATCTCGACGACAACGACGAGAAAACAAACACGTTCCAAACTGGCGCAACATCGCAAAAGTTTGTCCGAGAGCGATTTGCTGAACGAAATTGATAATGCATTAGTTTTTTGCAAGGGGTTTCTTTATTCGCACGGTAAACGAATGTAACCCGTTTTTCGCCCCTCCCACTCATATAAGTACAGCATGTAACGTATTCATATTGACGGGAACGGCAAGTGGGGGGAATGCTTGTGATCACAAACCATAGGGATCACAGCATTCGCATCTGGCATTTGTGAGCGATAGTGAAATGGAGTGTCGCATGTTGGTATGCGTTGTCATAGGGATGGTTTGACAAAATTTACTATGAAATGTGCCGACCACCCACAACTGTAGCTACAATTTAAAGTGTTAACAAAAACTAAAAAGGAACAAAAAAATGGCAACAAAAATAATAATTAAATCTATGTGTTCACTCGCGACTAAACTGCAACAACACTTCAACTGCTCACAAATATGCGAATGCTGCTCCCGTTGATATATCGTTCACCTATTTCAATATTGTTTTTTTTTTAAATGTGTTTGCATGTTTCGTATCGTACTTTTATTTGAACATATTCCTTGAATCATTTGCATTTTGTGTTTGTTCAATTAGCTTTGGCTTGGTCGCTATGTGTGTTAGCTTATACTAGGAATGTGATAGCCATTTTATCCGTTTGCTGCTTTATTGTCGTCGTCGTTGTCGTCTGATTCCCTTGTGCATGTGTCACGTGTGTCCGCCACACATTGCGTGTATTGTTTTATGTTTGTTAACTTTGTATCATTTTGTATTCCAAGTTGAAATCCACACCGAACAACACAGCCATTTCGGTGTGCAAGTTCATTCGCTTACTGTTAGCATGGTCGTTCACTTTCTCTATACTCTGGCGTTGTTTTTTTTTTTTCATTCATTCTCTTTCATGAAATTTCCTTTTATAAAGTAGATTCGTTGAAAAACGAACGATTTATCTTTCGAATGGTTCAGCTCAAATCCCGTATTTGTTCTCCATTCGATTTTATCATTTCGGGATACAAAACGCGCACCCAAAACACGAAATACGAATCAATCAAGTCATTTTAAATTATGTCCATTTCCATTGAATTGCTCACACTTTCCCGCGCTCTTCATCGTAACGGATGAAATATTGGAAATTGCATTATACACACTCTCCAAAAAATTTCAAAAACAAAATTGTTTTTAAACCAAACAACAACAATTGTCGAAACGTTAAAACATTTCCCGACCACGCTTACTACGATTTCAAGCATTTCATTAGCTGCTTTTATCATTCAAAAATGTGCGTTCATTCAACAAATAAACATTTAATAAATATTCGTTTGGTAATCGAACATGTTTCATAAACATGAAACACAACGAGTGCACAATTAATTAAAAGTAAATGCCACCATTTTTGCCTAGGAAAAAAAACCATGGTAATGGGAATTACCGAAACCAGTTCGAAAACAAATAACACGAAAAATTTAAAATATTTTAAAAAATTATGTTCATCCAAACAACAAACATCTCTCTCTCTCTCTCTCTCTCTCTCTCTCTCTCTCTCTGTGTGTGTGTGTGTGTGTGTTAAACTGTTCTTTTTTTTTAATGTTCATAAGAATAATGAAAGCTTTGTGTGAGTGTATCTGATATAGGAAAAGAGAGTGAGAGCGACACCATAAAGCTAAATATTCGAAACGCCTGTAAGTATGCTTTGTTCGTTTTTTTCGTTGTGTTCTCGGTTGGTTCGCCATTTTTCCACTGTACGCTTGGCTGTTATTTTTTTATTAAATTCAGTTGCACTCAATTTCACAATCCACTGCAACATTGATTTAATCAAACAAACATGCAATATTAAATTTTTATTAAACATTCAGTGCGATGACTCCCTCAAGCATACTTCCGCAAAGTGATATTAAAATTCCTTGGCACTCCAAACCCACTTCAGCACTGTCGATTCTAATAAAGACAAAGCAAGTGCAACATATCGCCAGCACGATTTCGTTGAGCGGGAGAAAAAAAAAGAGCACACAAACACACACTCTACATTTTTCCATTCTCTCGTTTCGGAGATAGAATTCACTCAAAAATGGAAACAATTTTACAATGAAACACGAAAACATGTTTAGCTAATGCATCTTAAGATTAAGTCCAGTGTCATTTTTTTCTAACATTGTGAAATTCGGCGAAGGTTGTTTTTCGTGTTGTTTCTTTCATTTTGGATTTAAATTGTTCGTTCGTCGGAACATTTTATCCTCTTTGCAAATGTCATTTATGGATGATGCCAAGTAAAGAAATTGCTTTCGAAAATCCATTCCGGTTGGACTAACCACTGTGTATAGTTTCACTTGTGTAGACATGAATCAAACATGACATTGCCGCTTCTACGGTTTCGCCCTCTCAAAAATCAAATTCAATAACACAGACAACACATTCTCCAAAAGGATATCCCATCTCTAAACAAAATTAACAATAAAAAAATCAAACACCCATTAAGAAATCAAGCAATTAGACTAGCTATGTGGCAAAAATGCAGTTAGCATAGCCGTGTTTTAGTTCCCCAGAGTGTTGCCATATTAGATGTATTGCTTTAATGGTTGCATTCAATTCAAAATGGTGAAAAGTCGGCAATGAATTGTGTTTGACTTCTGTATTTTGCAACGGACATAAACATCACTGCTAGATTTATAGTCGATTTGAGTGAAACGCAAAAACTGTCCCTCTCCAGAGAATATCGTTATGGTGGTTTAGAACACCATGAGGATAATAAATTTGGCCACAATTTAGATAGTTCTTTTCTCCCTCAGCAAAGCTACATGAAATTTTGGTAGTTAAATCCAAAATAATAATTAAATTTGTGTGTAAATTATTTTGAAATACGATTGCGAAAAGTGGGCTCACTGTGAGTAGATAAAAACAATAAATTTTCGGGGGCCAAAAAAAATTTACACAACCAAATTCAATTGTAGCCGCAACACAGAGCGCTGTGTGGATCCCAATGGGTTCTCAAATGGCTTACAGTGACTAAATGACTTTGAAATATTTTCAAGTTTGATGCACGAAATCGTGTGTACTCAATACATATATACGTATACTCTCAGCCAATGAACCAATTTCAATGCTTGATTAAACTGAAAAATAAAGTGTGTTTTTGCTTTTTTCACTTTTCGAATAGTTCTATTTTGAGCATAAATAATCGACGTCATATTATAAATGCCAAAGCGCCAAATTGATGGATTGCCTAACTTTTCTCCCGGGGTCGAGCGGCAATGGTAACGGCGGTAAACTTTGCATTCATTTCGAATCGGAGCGATAGCAATTCATTTAAAATAGCGTTTGGAATGCGTGATTTATTACATTTTCTGGATTATATTCTCCCCATTCAAAATCTTCGATTTCCAATTAATGCATATTTTCGTGAAAATTATTACCAGAAATGATTCATTCCGAAGGAGAGCGAGAGAGAGATGAGAACGGTTGGTTGTGTCAGAATGAGAATGGGTTGATGTTTATGAAACCTATTTTGAAAGCAAATTTATGCAAACATTTTGTGTCATGTTTATTTTTCTACTTGCTTTTTGATACTTTCTCGCATCCATGTATTATTACGCCGTCACCGCCAACAACCTTCAGCTCATTTCTCAAGAATTTCTACACAACTCATCGTTAGATTTCAATTCTAACGCGAATGACTATCGATCGTTATTACACAAAATGGATGCGATGCGATGCGATTGGCATGTGTGAGTGTGAGAGCGTGTGTGTCAATTCAGGCATTTTCATTTATTTTTCAATTGTTTTTTTCAACATTGCAAACTTTTGGAATGCCACTGGCAAACCCACCCAGAGATCGTAAAACCAACATGTGCTACAATTGATTTTCGTTTTAATGCTTTCTTTCACACTCTCAACGAGAGATTCTTCTTCTCGCGTGTGTGTCATTTTTTTGTTTGTTCTGATGGCTGGGTTTTTTTTCTCGCAATGGTTCGCTTATTTTCTCAGGGAAAAAAACTACAGCGCAAAAAAAGAAAAGCGCAAGTGGAACTGAGGGAAACGATCCAAAAGAAGTGAAATGTGTACGAATGGAGATGAATATAGTGTGAACGTAAGAGTGTTAATTTGATGTGGGGTTTCAGGCTCCAACAGAAAAAAGAGCGGCACTCAATTCACACGTGTACACATTCGGAATCGTGTGTAGGTTCCATCGTAAATGCTTATTCTTTTTGTAGCATTTATAGAACATTTCAGGCATTGACTTGAAGTATTTCTGTTTCCAAATCCAATCCACTTTTATGTGTGCGAATCGAAAAAAAAGAAAAGCTCATTCTGACGGATCGAAAATGGTGTTTGTTGTAATTTTAAATGTTCGCCTTTGCACTGCTCAACATCGTTTGAGCAACGAGATGAACAAGACTGAAAGCATTGCAGAAAAAAAAACTCAAGAAAATGAAAGAAAGTAAAACGTTATCGCTTCGCTTTTTCCTTGTCTTCTTTCGACTGTATAACGGCAAAACTAACATGAAACGGAAAAGAAAATTTATTGAGAACCCATCTTCGTAGTGAAGGAATCAGGGACGAGCACAAGGAAAGAAGTAATACTAAGTAAACGAAAAGTCATTTGTAGCATTTGAATAACATGAATTTTACCAGCTGGGCCTTACTCTTACTCCAGAGCTGGGCCATTTTCTCGTTATTCAATCTAATTTGCGAAAAATTGCGATTCCGTTCGTCTATTCAATTGAAGTATCTCAGGTTATATCGGTTATCACAGCGATTAGTAGCAATTGGAATGAAGTTGAGCAAACAAATACTATAAATCGGTTGGATCCGTGTAAAACGATATAACTACTAATTAAGATTGCAATCGAAGCATTCCAATTGCATAATTTTTATATTTATATCATCATCCTTCACAAATGGCATGTAATCAACAATAAAATTAGAGCCAACTCTGGGATTTGAGTCGGCTAAAAAGTGATATTCGGCATGTGTGAACCATAGCACATGATGCACACACAAACACATACGAACTATCGATTGCCAATGATTTATCGAAATCGCATGAGATTATGTCTCCTTTGTCGACGCATTCATCACTAATGCGTCTGTGAATATTGTCT